ATTTTTAAGCAGAACTCCTTCATTGGATTCATTGAGAGGGTTCTGCTTAAAAATTAATTATTCAGTATGCCTATACTATTTCCAAACTCGCAATCTACAAAACACAGTTGATGTGGACATAGATATAATCCTAACACAGAATATTTTAAAAATAAAATATGCCAACACAGGAATTTTAGTTTGATTCAGTGACACAACCGTAGTGCCCAGTCCTGCCACCCTTCATGATAATACCGGCCTCTTATCTGGTGCTTTCATCAGTAGATATCAAAATGCTTTACTAATGAGGTCAGTATCATTAGCCTCATTTTACAGATGTGTAAAATGACCTATGGTCACCCAGCAGGTCACTGGTAGAGCCAGGAATGGAAACAGAACCAAGTCTTCTGAGACCCAGTCCAGTGCTCTATTCACTTATTGCCTTATTACCTCACAAATAATCTTTCTTCGCATGAGTGGTCCCATTGAATTAAAGGGGACTAATAACAGAAGTAATGACTGCTTATGTGAGTACGGGTTGCAGGTTTGGAGCCACATTTTCATTTGTCGAGTAGCTTATCATGTCAGTAACATCACTTCCAAGTTTTGCAATATCAAAATGTCAAGCCAGGAAGCAGAGGGGCTGTATTTACAGGAGTGAAGAAAAATCTGTGTGGTGTGTGAGAGTTAACTTTATTTCTATTTATTTAAGAGTAATAACCAGTCTCCGCTGTAAGGACATTTTAAGTAGCATCTCCATGACTGATGTATGCTGCCGAGATGAGTGCTGTCATAAAGGAGTTCTTCATCTAACGAGCAAAGAACAAAAGGGGAAATGTGGGTATTTGTTATGGAACAAAATTCTCCAGTATGCTACGGGAAATTACCACTGCACTGTGCTTCAGACTATTATTGCAGAACACTAAGGTATTCTGGCCAGGCATGGAATGATGCGGAGGTTCATTTGTGCAGTAAATAGATCTCAGAAAAACAGCTGTTATCGGTCTCTAAAGATTGTTTGTTTGTTTGTTTTCTCAACAGAGCTACAGTGAACCTGTTGATGTTAAGGCGTCCCAACCGCCTCAGATGATTAATTCAAAACAGTCAGTGTTTCATGGGCCCACACAGGCTCATTCCGCACTGTACCTAAGCTCCCATTATCACCAACAACCCGGAATGAATCCGCACATAACTGCCATGCACGCTAATATCCCCAGGAATATCGCACCCAAGCCCAACAACCAAATGCCAGTGACTGTTTCCATAGCAAATATGGCTGTGTCCCCACCTCCACCGCTTCAGATTAGCCCACCTCTCCACCAGCATCTCAACATACAGCAACACCAGCCAATTACAATGCAGCAGTCCATTGGAAACCAACTCCCAATGCAGGTCCAGTCTGCTTTACATTCACCTACAATGCAGCAAGTAAGTTCTAAATCACGAACTTTCAATCTGTTTGGGGAATAGATTTCCATCTGAATCCGTAAAACTGGTCTTCCAGTAGTTAATGTAGGTTTTTTTGATTCATGGTTTAGCTTTAATTTTGCAACATTCCAGTACTGAAGTCCTAGCTCCCAGTCCTGCAGCTACTTGAGCACGTGAGCAACTTTACTCAGATGACTAGTCTCATGAGCTGTACCAGGACAACTCATGTGAGTAAAGTTAACCAAGTGCCCCTGAAGATTGGCTCCTGAACATTAAAATTCCATATCTCCCACAGGAAAGGGAGTTTCTTTTACAAAAAATATTAATGTTACTCAGTGAAATCAGCCTGTGAGGTAGAAAATAACCTAATGAACAGGTGAAATGTTAAGATTTCAAAAATGTTGATTTAAAGACACAGTTTATAAAGTAAGATACTGGAAATAAGGGGCCAGTTCCTGATGTTCATATTAAAGTTTTATTCATTTTCATACTCAGTCCCTGCTCTAACAAATTCCCATTGAATTTCAGTGGGAGTATGGCCTGACTACATACTGGAAACCTCATGATACGGACTTTCAGGTCTCAATCCTCCAGTGATGTAAAGCAGTGCAACTTCACTGGAGCTAAATAATTTTACAGAGGATCTGGCTCTAAGTAAATAAAGTTTTATTTTCTAAAAAATAGCCCAGAATTGACTATTTTGGGGAGAGGAGTAAGGAGGTGTGTATCTTGAAATCGCAAGATTTAGATGTAATTGGGCCTGATTTTCCATTACACCTTGTGTAATCATTTGCACCATTGTAAAGTGAGTGTAAAATCCTACCAAGTTAGAATGATGTATTTTACACCCACTTATTATAAATGGCTAGGCAAGGTGCAGGCCCATCACTGCATTTCATGCTCAATGTTTTCTGCTCTTTTCTTATGCCCTTCCAGGTTTCTGAAATACCCAATTTATTCACACAAATGCCTTGTATGCACAAAGCTTGTGGGCACAATTTATGAATCCAGGTTTGAAAATCTCACCGTGATTATTCCATGGATATTACAATTATACTTAATAGAAGGTGCAATGCAGGAGTTGAATGGTTTTAAATAGCATATCTGGTTATTGGCACCGTGCCATGATCATCATCATCACATAAATCTAAACATTGTTCCATGGTGCATTATTCAAATATTACATATAACAAAATATATTAAATAAAAGGTGACTTCAGTAGCTTCCATTACATCATGTTGAACATTACCCAGAAGGAAAGAAAAAAGTGGGACTACCACTTCTTTTAGTATGTTGCATGTATTTCAACAGCATGAAAGAACTGCCACTTAAAACAAAAGCTGCTGGCTACGACATATTACATACGTTGTGCAGTGCCATTTCTAGCCTGGGGCATAACATACACTGTAGAAAATAGGTATCCTGAAGTCCATAAATAGATCTGTGTTATACTGTACCTTTCGCTTTCCTGACATAACATACAATATGATAAAAAATTATGTGACCCTTTTTGCCTACTCCCCACAAAATTAAAAAAGCAGTGTAAAATATGTTGTCCTGAAATAGGAATGGGAATCAATACCCGTATTTCTCATTCAAGAAATCTGACATTTCTATCAAAGATACCAAATGCACTGTCAGGCGCCTGGGACATAGGCAGTCTAACCTAGTGATTGGAGTAGGAATCATTGAATTAGATATTGTAGTTTTCCTCGGACCCGGCAAAAGTCTAGAAAATTCCGAACAACATATTCTTCTTGGACGTGGATAGTTATAGGCGGGGGAATAGGGAGTAGAATGAAATAGGAAGGGATTCTTGACTAAGGGTTTTTGAAGAAAGATGTGGAAGGTGGGCTGAATTGGAGGAAATCTGGTAGCTGTATCCTAAATGTAACAAGGTTAATCTGTTTAGTGATCTGGAAGGGTCCTAGTTACTGATGGTCCAGCTTTGCAGAGAGGCAAGTCGATCGCAGGTTCCGGGTGGACAAGCAAACCTTATCCCCTACCTCAAAGCCTGGTGTTGGCTGGTGGGACCACTTCACATACCATTTGTAAGTTGCCTTGGCGACTTCTAACTACTTCTGGAGTTCTTAGTATACCTACTAGATGTGGGCAGTGAGTTCAGTGACAATGGGCATGGACAATTTCAAGGCGATCTGTGGATGAACGTGAGGATGGAGACTATAATTAGCAAAGGAGGGTCTGCTTTGTGGAGGTGTTGGTGGCATTATTTTAGATAAACTCAGCATGAGGGATCAAAGAGAGCCAATCATCTTGATGATAGTTTAAAACAGGGGTAGGCAACCTATGGCACGTGTGCCGAAGGCAGCACGCGAGCTGATTTTCAGTGGCACTCACACTGCCTGGGTCCTGGCCACCGGTTCGGGGGGCTCTGCATTTTAATTTAATTTTAAATGAAGCTTCTTAAACATTTTAAAAACCTTATTTACTTTACATACAACAATAGTTTCGTTATATATTATAGACTTATAGAAAGAGACCTTCTAAAAATGTTAAACTGTATTACTGGCATGTGAAACCTTAAATTAGAGTGAATAAATGAAGACTTGGCACACCACTTCTGAAAGGTTGCCGGCCCCTGGTTTAGAAAGTAACATAGGTTATGTTCTAGGATCTAATTGTCGTCCTCAGACTGAGGTGTTGCTTGGGTGATAGGCCATAGAGGTTAGCATGTTTATACTCAGGTGGCATGGGAATTCCCACCAGAAGCAGGAAATAAACCCTGATCCCCAGACAGATACCATACTCAGAGGTAAGCCATGAAGAGGAAAGATGTTGTTCACAAACAAGTGGGCTGTTTCCTGAGCAGAGGGAAGCGCCCGGTATTCAACAAAGTGTGGCATCTTGGTTAAGTGGTTGATCATCCCTAGAATTGTAGTGTGGCCTTGGGAGGGTGGTAATTCCATGATAAAGTACATGGAAACAATAGCCCAAAACCAGGGCAGAGTGGGTAAGGTTTGGAGGAGACCCAGCAGTCTTGAACAGGGTGTCTTGGTCTGGGTGCAAATATCACAGGAGACTACGTAAGGCAAAACAAGACACATACAGCTGACCACCAAAAGCTCCCAGACACTAGGTCTTGCATCTTGGAACAGCCAGAGTGGCCCTCCACGGGAGCATCATGGCAGAGTTGTAGGACTTGAAGCTCAGTAGACCCTTCAGGTACATATATGCATCCTTTATGATACCAGATCCTGTCCTGGAACATGAATGCGGCAGAGGTCTGGTCCTGCTCTTGGTCTAAGGCTTGATGGATTTGGATGGCAAAGAGGTTGTGGGGCAGCTAAGAATGGATAGAGGTTATCAGGTTGGAGGCTATGATGGAAGAAATGAAGTTTGAGGGCTCGAGGATTGTGGACCTAGTTTCTTTTCCAGGATCAAAGTTCTCATCCTTCCACAACAATGCATCTGCCTTCCTGTTCTTTGTCCCAGGAGGGTAGGTGACCACAAAACTGAATTGCGTGAAGTAGAGGAACCAGCATGCCTGCAGGTGTTTTCAGGTGCCTGGCCATTTTAAGGTATTCCAAGTTTTTATGATCTATGAGAACTTGGACAAGAAATCTAGCCTCTTCCAGAAAGTGGCTCCATTCTTCAAAGTCCATTTTGATGGCCAGCAGTTATTTGTCCAGGATGTCATATTTCCCCCCAGCAGGAGTGAGTTTTCGCGAGTAAAATGTGCATGGGTGAAGTCACTCTTCGAGAGCATCAGATTGGGCTAGAACTGTCCCTAGTGCAATGTTCAAAGCATCTGCCTCCACCATAAACAGTGTGGCAGGGTCTGGGTGAATCCAGATGGGAGCCGTTGATGAATCTCTGCTTCAGATTATCAAAAGCAACCTGAGCTTCTGGGGATCATACAAATCGAATTCCCTTCCGTAGTAGGGCTGTGAGCAGAGCAGCCAACACAGAGAATCCTGGGATAAATCATAGAATCATAGACTTTAAGGTCAGAAGGGACTATTATGATCATCTAGTCTGACCTCCTGCACAATGCACGCCACAGAATCTTACCCACCCACTCCTGTATCAGACCAGTATCTGAGCCATTGAAGTCCTCAAATCATGGTTTAAAGATTTCAAGATGCAGAGAATCTTCCAGCAAATGACCCATGCCCCACGCTGCAGAGGAAGGCAAAAAAAAAACCTCTGCCAATCTGCCCTGGATGAAAATTCCTTCCCGACCCCAAATAATGGCGATCAGCTAAACCCTGAGCATGTGGGCAAGACTCACCAGTGAGACACCCAGGAAAGAATTCTCTGTAGTAACTCAGATCCCACCCCATCTAACATCCCATCACAAGCCATTGGGCATATTTACCGCTAATAGTCAAAGACCAATTAATTGCCAAAATTAGGCTATCCCATTATACATCCCCTCCATAAACTTATCCAGCTTAGTCTTGAAGCCAGATATGTCTTTTGCCCCCACTACTCCCCTTGTAAGGCTGTTCCAGAACTTCACTCCTCTGATGGTTAGAAACCTTCATCTAATTTCAAGTCTAAACTTCCTGATGGTCAGTTTATATCCATTTGTTCTTGTGTCCACATTGGTACTGAGCTTAAATAATTCCTCTCCCTCCCTGGTATTTATTCCTCTGATATATTTATACAGGGCAATCATATCTCCCCTCGGCCTTCTTTTGGTTAGGCTAAACAAGCCAAGCTCTTTGAGTCTCCTTTCATAAGACAGGTTTTCCATTCCTCAGATCATCCTAGTAGCCCTTCTCTGTACCTGTTCCAGTTTGAATTCATGCTTCTTAAACATGGGAGACCAGAACTGCCAGGGCCATAGCAACAAAGAACGTGGCCCCCTCCGAACATATTTCCGGGCGGGGCCCCTTACAATGCAGAAACTGGAATGTGGTATTTATTTTATACAATATACAGGGTTCATATTATGTATACATAGGCCTACAGTGTACATGTATTCCGTATTTACGCAAAGCGCTTCTTTCGAGCCTTGTTCTCCGTAAATTGG